AGGGGGGGAGGGGGAGAGGGAGAGGGGCTTACAACACAAGATTATTTTCATGGCTGCACATACCTACCCCACAAAAAAACTAAAGAGAAAAAAACAAAGGTAACCCGGTGAAGCCAATGAAATTAAGCTAAACACACATAAAAACAAAACGAAGACAGCAAAAAATCTACTGCCACACGCGCACGGATAATCAGGTAACGCCTGCATCACCTCAGAGTAACCGACCAGTGCACCCGGACCATCGGTCATTCCTCCAGAACCACAGATTTAGAAACAAGACAGATGGCGAAGTGTATTTTTAAAAAAGGAATAAATCGCTATATTAGTAAGGCTAACAAATTGCAACCTCAGAATTACAAAGTTTTATCCGACGTTTTTGGCCGTTTGATTATATTTTATGTGTTATCCTTCACAGGTCTACAATATCTAAGAAAGCTGAGATAAGCTGTATGATGATTTGTATTTTGTCCTCTAGCAAATCACGCTTTTGACGTAATAAACGGCAGTGCTTGATAGCTGAGTACAATGTTTCAGAGTACAATTAAGGGATGGAACAATACACCTGGCCAATTGTCTCATTACAAAAAGACATTTTTATGAAATGGTTTGTCTCAACTAATTCCATCTTCTTGGACAATAAACACCCCTTGTTCCCTTAAATAAAAATAACAATCAGAAGTAAAAGGCATAGGCTTCTGATCTATGACCAAATGCCTTTCTCTTCTTTCATTATCAGTTTCGAAATGTACGTATGTTGTTTATTTTTACAGAGTGAAACAGCTTTTTCTCTCTCCTGAAAACGTTTGTTTTTAAGGCTTGTGACATTGTATCATCGGATATCTGACGATAGTTTTACACGCACAAAACCACACATACCTGACACTTCTGACATATTTCCATCTCTATGATGGGCCAGGCCACTCACCCCTATCACTTAACCAGCAAGGACAAAAAGATCGCAGTGCATGCTCATGACCTCCAGCCAAACATACGAGAGTAATAAGCCAGTTGAGTGAGTAATGACAACAGGACCACTACTACACAAAGGACCACAGTTAAGGAGAGTGTGTTCATGCAGGGAGGAATGTCTGCATAGGTACCCGACTCCAAGGTTTACACTACTGAAGAGAGAGCTTTTTCTCTCTCGCTCTCACTTTCTTTCTTCTCTCTCTCTCTCTCTCTCTCTCTCTCTCTCTCTCTCTCTCTCTCTCTCTCTCTCTCCTCCTCCTCCTTTCTCTCTCCTCCGTCTCTCTCTCTCTCCCTTTATATATTTTTAAAAAAAAGTAGTTTGTT